CTTTCAATCCTGAATTTAAATATAACCCCCGATAAAATTTACATTTTCCTTCAGTCCTAAATAGTATTATCATATTTTGGCGTTTTACAAACAAACATTATGTCTATAGTTGGTAAATTTGATCATAATCTTCAAAACTATCTGTCTTGATGAGGAATGAAATAATTACATGAGTTGGCAGGATGAGGTGAGTTTTAACGACTTGGAAAAAGGGTCTAGTTGTTCAGATTGGACAATAAACTGAGGCTCTGTGAGTTACAGGCCAGGACTGTTAATATGGCTCTATTTGCCATTTAATTTTGTAGTACAGGCTGTGCACATTCAAAATCTTTCGACAAGAAGAGTAGGTTAATGCCTGGCAAAATTTCGCCAATTGTACATGGCATTGCCCGTCTTCATAACCCATTAGGTGCAAAAAAGTCGGAAGTAAAACTCCATTCATTTGATTTCTAATATATCAGATAGATAATAAATGTTTCTTACCATCAAAAGAATATTCTGAAGATAACTGAACAATCAGCTGATCTCTTCTTTTTAAATTGTCTTGATACGTCTAGAAATATACAAACAACTTTAATTCTCACAGACAGGTAATAATAAACACAATCATTCAATCATGACATTATACATAGATAGCTTGCCAGGCAAGGTAATATACGCCCACTGGCAGCTTTGATTTTGAATAAAAATATTTAGCAGTACAGTAACAATCACCAGTATGAAATATTCAACCTTCAGTCATACAATTCTTTTGAACTCTTTAGGGCGATACTGAATAATATTGAGTATGAGTTATTTCCCTTTTTCTTGAAAAAGTGTTTGAAGGCAAATATTCAATCTTCAGCGCGGGACTGAATAATAAAACCAAGTTTTGTCAAAATCCAGCAAGAATCATGCCTTTTAGTGTTTAAGAGCTAAATTTGAAAGCGTTTTCAAGAACAAGGGCAATAACTCGGACTAAATATTTTTCAATTCTTCTGATTTTCAATAGGGTTTATCCTTGGGTGATAACAAACACTCATGCCAAGTTTCGTCAAAATCCGGCTAGAATTGTCCCTTCTAGAGTTATTATAAGCTAAAAATTGAACGCGTTTTTAAGAACAAGGGCAATAACTCATACTAAATATTTTTCGATTCTTCTGATTTTCAATAGGGTTCATCCTTAGACGGACAGACATGGGTGATGGCAATATACGCCCCCCATTTCAAGTGGGCGTATAATAATATCGACTAGAAAGAGATATTAGTTGAATTTCAGTCAGATTCTTTTAAATTTAAATAAACAAAGTTTTTGCTTCAGAAGTGCACATTGGAATTTATTTCTTTAAGTTCCACATTCACCATAAACGTCATTTCCTCATCACCAAAACATTAGGCGTCATCGTCATCGACGTCATTGTATCAAATAGACGGTCTCCAATGTAAACAATCATGTCAGTAGTCCCAAACATTGAAACGTAAAGAAATAAGCCCTTCTTAAATTCATACTAAATTCTTTGTATCAAAATTAGAATATAAACGTGCATTTATGATTAATTTTCCAGCCAACCTTTGTCCTGATATACGACCATAACCGCCATAGGGTAACAGTTTATTACTTAAATATTTGTTAAAAAAAAGACTCAAAACGTAAAAATAATATGTCATAACTTACTGCTGCTTCCTGTTCTAGTTTTCCCACTTCTACTAATATCACTGATTTCTGTTTTCCCATTCGTTCTAATTCTTTTGTTAAGATTTCTTTTCTTCGTTCATACTGTACGACAAGATACATCCAGATTTTAACATTAATAGCTATCAGAATAGGTGACAACTTTGAAAATGATAAGTGCCTTTATAAGGGATGTATGGCATAATAAGTGATACATAAATTGTTTTCTCCTGATCAAAGAATATAGGGCTGTTGACTAACCATCATTTCAGGTCAAGGGTAACAACTCTGTTTCTTGTAATAGGAAAGCACCCAAATTTGAACTTGATTATTATGTTAGTGTTTTAAACATACAGTCAAGAAAATAATCCAAACGGCCTCTTAATAATGATGATGGTCTCTTCAATATTGATTAAAAAAAGGAGGCTCTAGAGCATCCACATGCTTATTGAAATGATAAAACTTTAAATATGGTGAAAACATTAGCTATATCTATCATAACTCTCCTATAATTTGATGTCACATGGAATAATAATGGGGCTGACTCTTTATCACAACAAAATTTCTAATAAAATAAAAATGGCTATAATACCTGCTGTAGAGTTTCTTGTCTCTCTTCCATTTTCTTTTGAAATTCTCTCAACATTTGTTTTAATTCCTCAGATGATCCTTGGAATTCATTCTCAATATTCGACAGTAAATCACCAATATTCTTATCAATTTGTATCTTCTCTTTCTCGCGACTTTCTGTGAGAATATAATAAGTTAATTTCATTTTGAAAGAAACATACAAAGAGTCAAGGTTAACTTTAAAAATTTATTACTTTACTCATTGGCTGAAAATCTTATAAACCTTCAGTGACATTTAATGCCCAAAATCTTGTGTCAAAAAATGAAGCTAGTATTCCAAAAAAAGAATTTATATCAATTTCTTCAAAATGGCATTTAACAATTGTAAGTATTTTGTATAGACACAACAATCAATGTTTAAAGTTTTATACAGTGTTTTAATGTGATTCTAATAGTGGCCATCAGAAACTTTCTTTGTAAGTTGCTAGGTGAATGTTGTGTGAATCCAATATGAACTTTATAAAGTGATGATTGTTAAAATCAATGAAGACGCAGACAGTTAAAAGTTTAAGAAATGTTAAACAAAATAGGAGACTCATGAACAACCAAAAACAGGATGGAAAAAAACTTGGAGAAATGTTTTTGTTTTTTGTGAACAATATTTCATTCACAAATATATTCAAAGATGTACATTATGAAAAATAGTGAAATGGTTTGCGAGTCACCTATTTAGCACAGTGGCAAGGTAAGGCATGTCCATCTTTCAACAACACCCGCTGCCACTCAATTATATGGTATTTTTGCTTTCTTTTGAGAGTCCACATAGCTAATAATGTTTATATGATATTTAGGCTTGTCAACTTAGCATCCCTTTCAGAGAGTCCACATAGCAAATAATGTTTATTTGGTATTTAGGCTTGTCAACTTAGCATCCCTTTCAGAGAGTCCACATAGCAAATAATGTTTATATGGTATTTAGGCTTGTCAACTTAGCATCCCTTTCAGAGAGTCCACATAGCTAATAATGTTTATTGGTATTTAAATTTGTCAACACAGCACCTTTTTCAAAGAGTTCACATGGCTAATAATAATAATAATAAAAACTCAGAAACCCAGTTGCTCCAGACAATCTTCCTGGGATCTTTCTACATAAAAGTTATTAATACCTATTAGGTATATTTTTGATAATGTGAGAAAAAACGAACTTACGAATGTTGGAACTGATTTTATAGGTTTCTTGAGCTCGTGTTCCTAACTGATTTAACTTGTCCTAAAAATACAATAAAAATTTGTATCTGGTTCTCATGCAATTCAACTGTAAATTGTGTGTATTTATTTAAAAACTACTGATAAAATTGTATTCTAGTTAAAACTACTATGTTATTTTGACAGTACCTGTAAAGGTTTTAGTTCAGTTTCAATCTTGGCAACACTTTCTTCTGATGTTTGATATTTTACATTAAGATCAGCTAAATCACCTTGTATCTACAACAAATAATCAAAGAAAATAGAGTTTTACATCCTATTTTTCTGCAACTGCACTAAAGAAAGACAAAAAAATAAAAAATAATGACATGGAATATTACGTTGTACTATTCTGACCCTTATTGGCCAATGCAGTGTGCAATGAAGGAAATTTTATATTCCAATTCAGGTAAAAATTCAGTAAAAAGAAGAAAATCAAGAATATAGTACCGTAAATAACCATGAACTATCTCAGTTTAGATGGATTGCTGTCTGCTAGGCAATTAGGCGCCGTGGGTTCGAATCCTTCTCAAGGAAAGAAAAATTCTGATGCCCGTGTCTGTGCTTCTGAAAGTCAGTCCAGTGTAAGCTTTCACCCATATATTACCTGATAACAAGAGTGAAAGTGAGGACAAACTCTGTCGTATTTTTTATCGAGTGAAACATGAATAATTATAAGAAAAATATTTTATACAGACCTGAACTGATTTATCTTTATGTTGTTTCAAATATTTCAATTCTTCTTTAAACGTTTTAATTTCAGCATCCTACAAAATACATGACAGATTAGTTACTTTTAATAATCCCTTTTCCATTCAAAAAGATAGCTTGAAGGCAGGCAGGTGTCTCCCCCAAACAATCCACACAACAAAACATTTAGTGAATACAGTTTTACACGGAGAGAGCAGGGAAGGTGTCCCCCCCCAAACAAACAATCCACACAACAAAACATTTAGTGAGTACAGTTTTACACGGAGAGAGCAGGGAAGGTGTCCCCCCCCAAACAAACAATCCACACAACAAAACATTTAGTGAGTACAGTTTTACACGGAGAGAGCAGGGAAGGTGTCCCCCCCAAACAAACAATCCACACAACAAAACATTTAGTGAGTACAGTTTTACACGGAGAGAGCAGGGAAGGTGTCCCCCCCAAACAAACAATCCACACAACAAAACATTTAGTGAATACAATACCTGCTGTTGTTTTAACTTTCTGATGGTCTCTAAAACTTTGGTGTATCTGGTGGAGGCGAATATAGCATCAAACTTTTCTTTTAGAGGTTTACCTTCACTTAGAGGCCTGAAATAAACACCAATATAAACATGTTATTCCATCATGGCCTTAACACTATTCTTATCCAGAGAAAATACTTTAAAAGGACATTTTGTGACAAATCATACCTTAGTCTAAGAAACCGGGAATTTTTAGCTAAGCCAATCAGTAATAGTGTTCACAGTTCACCATCGAAATTTTAGTCCTCAAATCCATGTGTGTCCAGAATTATCTGCATTTGAAAGTTACGAAGACGAGACGAGACGAGACATTGTCATATAGAAAAGACATATATAGCAATAGTGAGTAAAATTCTTAGTATGAGATATTTTTAAAGGAATTATGCAATTTTCATACATTTCTAGTACTTTTGAAGATTATTTACATATATTCAAGACTCCAATCAACAACGCAAAATGGTGAACCTCTTCTTTTAAGAAAAGAAAGAACCAAACAAGGATTACAACTTTGGTTACTGTCTTATTTAAGGGGCTAGGTACTAAGAGGTGCAAGCCAAGACTCTTGGAAGCATTGGCACAAGATTTGAACTTGGTGTAAGAGGAATAAGGTGTTTAAGAAGAGTAGGTAATTCTCTAATAATAAGAGATCTTACCAATTAGCATCTTCTTGATGACAGAATATAACATTGTCTATTACAGCTTTAGATACCCCTAGTGATGTTATCATCTACAATAAACAATATTAAACATTATTGTGGGACTTTGCTACCGCAAAGTCCCAGTTTGTTATCATATTGTCAATTCTTTTTTTTTTTTTTTTTTTTTTTTTTTTCGAAATTTCCACAGGGCACACAGCCTAGGCTTCAATAGCTACATCAACATTTCTACATGTGTAAACCTTCTGCAGTGGCAACGTTTAAAATGAATATAAATTGGAACATTTTTGCAAAACCGTAAGTGCCACAGTGCAACATATGCAAAAAGTGGTAAATTGGCTCTAGAAGGCGCATTTTTGCATCGATTTTCTTCGGGTTTTCAGTTTTAAAATCTGGCTGGAATTTCTGATCAGATAGCACTTAAAAATTCGAAAATTTGTCGCAAACTTTTTTCGATTGAATTTTGCAATTTTTTTGCAACTTTTTTGTTTTTGCATCGATTGATCTGAAATTTAAAATGCAAAGAGACATCACTGTAAATGATATGATACAGTCAGACTTTTGACGCCACTTCCGGTTTTAAAGTTGGAATCAATTGAAAGTACAATCTACTTCCAGTCGAATAGCTTTCGGTGTATATTAAATTGGCCAACGGAATTTATGCAGGTCGTAAGTAAATGCTAATACAAAAAAACGAAGAAAATAAAATTCAGACCGGAAATGAACCTTTGGCCGCCATCTTGATTTTCTTACTTTTCTTAAAATCGAAATAAGTCCTTAGGAATAAACTAAATCTGTGTAATTTTGGTGCCGATGTAATCTGTTGTCTAATGTCTACAAAACATTGCGAGCTGATTTTTGAATTTTGCTTTTGCATTTTTGCAACTTCCGGTTGAATTTTTTTAGAAGTTTGAAAGCTTAATTCTTGTGACCTTGACCTCTCATGACGTTGACCTTTGATAGGACAAAGGTCAATGTCCTTGGCTGTCAGATGATGCTTTGACATTTGACCTCCGACGCCTACTTCCGGTTTTATAGCTGTTCGAAAACAGCCAAATTTGCAACTTTGGACTGCTCTAGCACGTGACCTAATTAACCTAGAGGGTTAATTTTTTCGGATTCTTAATGTGCTTTTCATGCTCTTTCAAGTGATTTATAACAATCATTTTTTAAAGCAAAATTGAAATTCGTGAATTTTTCAAATTTGAGTTTTTTTTTACAATATTTCTGTTTCTTTGAGCTTGGTGTGTATATATCTTATGACCTATTTTATGTAGAACATTGAAACTTGGAACACAACAAGACAATTTGAATATAAATTAACCTATGACAAAAAAGTTGAGGTGGGCGTGGCACATCCAGGTTGAATTACTAATTGTTTACATTTTGAGAAAGGGGCATAACTCGCATAGGATACATTTGTTCAAAAAGGAACTTTGCACACAATTACCTCATTATTTTGGCCAGTTTGTGTTAATAGGTCAATTGTTTCAGCTTTATAGTTCCAAAAAAGGAACGGGTTTTGAAATTTCCATATTTTCAATTTTCTATTTTGACCTTTATTGACTCTTGTTGACCTATATCTTTTGACCTGTATGATGTAGAAGCTTTAAATTTGGAACACAACTTAACATTCAGAATATCAATTAACCTATGCAAAAGAAATTTAGGTGGGCCTAGCACATCCGGGTTAAATTACTCATTATTGACA